GAGGAAGAAAAAAGGTCGCCATCCGACAGACCGTTCCGCCTCAGTGACGAAGACCATGGAGGATGAAGATTCCAGTACTGGGACCGGCAAGAGCCGAAGACGGTCACCCCCTCCACTTTGTCATGTCCGCGTGGAACGAGACCGGAGCTTTCAGCTTGGAGTAAGCGACTCCTAGCATTGTAGCTAGCATCTCCATGCTAGRGGCAAAAACCCRTCTTGGCTAAACGGTCTGGGTGAGCTCCCAGTCCAGTCYTGGCTGGGAGCGCCGACCACTGAATGCCTTAAACCAGCTAGCTAACACCTCTGTGTTGCGAGCGAGCTAGTAGCAGCCAACACATCATGTGTTACAAGCCAGCTAGCAGCAGTCTGCAATTGCCCTGGTCAAGCTACATAGCACGTCCATGGCTAGAAGCTACACTAAGCGGCAGCACCCTGACTCCAGCTACTCCGCTGAGAAGCGGGGTGCAGTTCGGCGCAAAAAAGGCTGAGACTAGCACGCTGCTTAGCTTAGCTAGGTGGCTAACCGGCTTAGCTAGTTTGCCGCCGTGATCTCCGGCGGGAAACCGCTAGCCTGGGCCTCCCGTCCCCGGAGGAGATAGCCAGACCATGCCGAGATGAGAAGCRCATGGTCCGAAATATCTGGGMAAACTTCCCAGATATTTCGGACCATGACAGTATCTGACCCAAACATTTATTTTCACTGTCTTTAAATGTTGTGATGTGTTTATTTTACTATCATCTGAGTGCTGTTTCATTATTCAGTCAACAATACATTAATATGATAAATGAATATTTCTGTAAACATCCAAGTCAAAACATCAGGTTTCCATGTCTTTCCACTAACTACGTGGTTCTTACCTTGACTTTAATGATGAACACTTCCTGGTTGTACACCTGCACTGTAACTGTGCACGCTGCCACGTGCAGAGGAGTTTAAAAAACGGTGCCAGGCAGAATAAGTCCACATCATTCCTCCTATTATTCCTCATATTGTTGTTTTCCCTTCCATGGATGGGTGAACGAAGTACTGTACATCAGAAAAATGAACAGAGTTTCCCTGGACGGGACTGTAGCGGGGGTCAYGTGACTRAAATGATCCAATAGAAATACAACARTTATATTGCATATTTGAGTAGAAGTACAGGCACGACAGCCAAACCCATCTGTTCTCTGATTGGCTGTTAAATCTGATTGACAAGACATTGACTAATCAGCTGGAGGCAGAAAAAAACTGGGTCAGAATTCACACTTGTAAAGTGAAACTCACATGCAAGTTTTGAACTTGAACAGAGAGATTTACATGTAGATTTTTGCTTTGTACATGTAAACAGACCTTAACAAAAAAAGACTAATTTGTGTAAATATTTTTTACAGATACAAATCTGATTT